CCACAACAGTGTTCATCCCAGGTAGAGTGATGGGGAGTGGGGACACAGAAGCCCCTGCAGCTCAGGCTGTGGCAACAGAGCTTTTCTATCCAGTGTCTTTCCCATTTCCAGATCTTTAGTTTTGGTTTGAGGGTAGTACCCTCTGAGTAAGCCAAATAGTTCTCAAAGTTAAGCAGCCAACCTAAGAAGTCAGCTACATGGTCCCTTGCGGTCTGGCATAGTCTGCATGTCTGAGAACAGGTCTTATTGAGTATCTTCATCTTAACTCTCTCTAGTAGTCTTTCTCAAATTTCCTTACTTAAATGACCAGCAGATTCGTCCTTCGATCACCTTGCTATCAGTGTTAGAATCATCTTCCTCTGTGGGAGTGTGAAGAGAGGAACTAGAAGAAGGAACTCTGCAGTCTGCTCAGCTTCTCAGCGGTTTCTGCGGCTGAACATAGACAGGATGCCTGAGGGTTGGTGCTGGTCTCTCACCAGGTGCTGAGCTACGATGCTTTGCTGGTGTCCATCCCTGAGTCTCCTGGGGACAGACAGGGTTCATTGCAGAAACCTGGCATAGATTATGGGCCCAGTATTCTTCCTGGAAAGATTATATTGGAATCATTAGACTTGAACCTGCTCACCCCCTTTTAGACTCATTCCACACCTTTTGTGACTGGGAAGTTCAATAACATTTATTCAAAACTCAGAGGAGGAACTTGAGCATAATTAACTTAAGGAGTTAATGAGCAGTGTTTAAATGGTTTGCTGTAGTGAAACTCACCTTGGTGACAATTTATGAAGTTCGAATCTTATTTTATGCATGAACAGCATTAGCTGGACCCACATGGAGAGGATTAATGATTCTTCATACTTATGGGGAACTGGAACTAGAAAATACTCGGTTTTAATGATATTTTAGAGAACTCAATAGGTTGTATTATGGTATAGATTTTCCGTTGTTGTCCTCCTCCCTCAGTTATGAAAGAACTACTTTAGAGTTAAATGTATTCACCAGCCATTTAGTACACTAAGACACACTGTATATTTAATGTTCCACTTTATTGCTTGCTGAAAGAAATAAATGCATAACAAAAATGCTTTGGAAAATGGTTAATTTTTCATCTGTTGATTTAATGTGCAATGGTTCAATAAGGCGAATCGCCCTGGTCTACAACTACTGAAAAAGAGAAGAATTACCCGCACTGGTATGTTGAATCTGTGAATATTAAGTTTGTCAATGTAATTTATGACTCCGCAGGTAATATACAGGTAATTTGCATACTAATTGCTATGGTGGAAGCCAAACGACTTTAATTCTGTAAATTAGTCTGCCTAAGCAGAAGCCTAGGATTGCCTCTCTGAGCTGGGAAAGAGGAGGCTTGTTAGGGTGAGAAAATGGAGCTCAAGCAGGTGGCACCTCAGTTCCCCGGGCCCCCTGCTGGCAGGCAGGCGATGCAGTGACAACACAGCTCCTTGATGGCCTCCTGCCTGCTTCTCTGATCCAAGCCCAGTTGGTTTTTCAAGCAATTCAAATTCAGAAAACAGAAGACTGAGGTCAAAGGAGAAAAAACCCTGTCTGTGTGTTGAGTAATGGACACAAATAGGAATTCAAAGGCAAAGAAAACCATCCATTCTAGCTTCCTAAGAGGAGTACTTTCAAGTTTTGAGATAGGCGTGTGTTCAGTGAGAGGCTTGAGGCTCTTTTTGCATGTAGGAGTTGGAGAGTTTGGGGGAATTCAGTGATGCTGCAGAGAGATGTTCAAGAGCAAATCTTGAGGGAGAGTTTTCTGGTAGAAATTAAACAGGTTGAAAGCTTTTATTATTGCCAAGGGCACAGGGTGTTAAGCACAGTATATGTGAGCATCTCCTTTAGGAGAGTAAGGTAGCAGTGGCCATCAGAATCTAAAAGTACACTTACCTTTTGAGGTACAATCCATTTCAGGAAATGCATTTTATAACAATATAAACCCTACGAATCTTAAAATGCAAAAGCAGCAATTCCACATGATTCAACCTAATATAAGGGTGTTCATTAGAGCATCTTGCAATGATGCAGTTTGGAAAGTGACTGAGTGTTCAGCAGGAGGAGACTGATAGCATAATGGTACATATCATATGAAGTTTTTTAAGAGTGTGACCTATGCCTGTAATCCCAGCTATATGGGCGGGTGAGGCAAGAGGATCACAAGTTCAAGGCCAGCCTGGGCAGCTTAGCAAGGCTCTGTCTCAAAATAAAAAGAACTAAAAAGAGCTGGGGATGTAACGTAGTGGTAGAGCATCCCAGGGTTTAGTCTTTAGTACCTCCAAAAAGACATAGTTGTATAAGATTACACAGAATCTTATTTTGCCTTATTTATTTATTTTCAGTCCTGGGGATTGAATTTGGGGCTTTATCTTTGAACCTCATCCCTAACCCTTTTAGTTTTTTAAATCTCAAAACAGAGTCTTTCTAATTCACTAAACTGCCCAGTTTGGGCTGGAACTCATGACCCTTCTGCCTCAGCTTTCCGGAAAGCTAGGATCGCAGGCCTGCACCACGTGCCCGGCTCTGGTTTTAGCAAGTGTCTTTAGAAAGAGTGCTGGGTGCATATGTACTTACATGTTTGATGTGTGTGGAGAGAAAAAGACTGGATGGCCACATCCTCATTTTTAATCATGGCTGCCTTTTGAAAGTGGGGCTCAGGAGAGCTGGTGGGAAAGATGTTTTTAAGCCTTTTATGTTTGAATTCCACATAGTCAAAGCTCTTGATATAGCTAAAAGCACCCCTACAAAGTAGGATAATGAAAATGAAGCCTAAAAGCGATGGGGAATTTATCCAATTAAAAAAATGACTTGTGATCTATATTAATATTCAGTAACTAGTGTTTGCTTTGTTTGGCATATCAAACTTGCCATACCAAACTTTTAAAAAATAGTATGCACCTATAAATTCTGTATGTTGATATTTTAGGAATGGTGGTAAAATTAAGATAGATATTTTATTAAAATGAGCTGTATGTGAATCAAATGAGGTGCAACAACTTAAAGAGTATTGCACCAGGACCACTAAAAAGACAAATAACTGTAAAAATAGCACATATAAAGGGCTTGAAAAGGCACATGAGGGCATGAAAGTCATGAACACAACTAGACTGGTTCACTAATTAAAGATACCATTTATCTTTTTTTCTGCTCTGCTGCTGGTGTTTTACAGAAGTATAATTTATATACAATAAAATTCACAAATCTTGAGTGTGTGACTTGATGAATTTGTGAAATATTTTTAGCAATGTGCTGATAAACTAGCTCTCTAGGAGGAAAAAACCTCGAAAACATGATTTGTAGCATTTGTTGATTTTCCTGTTTTAAATACTTTCACCATGCCCAATTTTAAGCTAGCAATGGTTTGACAACTGGCTCACAAAAATTTCCCAATTACATAAGAACACCCTCTTAGGAGCATAAGAGAGAAACTCCAAACACTGTTGGTTGTAGTGAGCCATCCGCCACCACCCAAATCAGGATGTACACCCCAGTTTCTCTTGCTGCCCTTTTCAATGAATTCACCCCTTACCTTCCCTAGACAAATAGCAATTCTGACTTTTATTACTGGAGACTGGTTTTGAACTTCACATAAAAGAAGCTATAATGCAGATATCCTTCTGTTAGTAGATTCTTCTGTCTCACTTAATATTTCTGAAATTTGTTCATGTTGAATTGAGAACACCATTTTTAAATCATGTGTTTTCTCAGAAGTCATTTTTCTATGTTCTTGGATTGATCTTTGATCCAGTATTAGAATAGATTTGGTACTTTCAAAACAAAGTTTTCTTCCTTTAAAACTCCTCTTTCTTACCTCTCTTCCTAGTTGTTCAGAATATAATATGGGCTTTCCTGCAAATAGGAAACAGAGAAAACAGATTCTGTCACAGTGTTTCTAAATTTCTCATATTTTATCAGATCTCATATTTTATCAAGATGAGAATCAAGCGGTAAAAAAATTATAGTCCAACGCTGGGCGATGTTTACCAGTCAATCTCTCTTTTCATGGTGTGTGTGTGTGTGTGTGTGTGTGTGTGTGTGTGTGTGTGTGTCTGTCTGTCTGTCTGTCTGTCTGTCTTGTGAATTGTGAATTTCTGAATATGGTCACATCAAAGCCTGGCCAGCAGATGCAGAGTATATACCAATCAGACTCAAACCTGGAAACAGCCTGACTTCAGTTCACAAGCTGGGAATGTTTTCCACGGCAACACCCCGGGCTGATCAGAAGGACATTAGAAATCAGAGGCCAGTGCTGTAGGCTCACTTCCACGCAGAGGCCCTGGGGGCTGACAGCAGGCACTCTCCAAATAAACTGAAGAGCCCTATTCCCAGGATGCTATACTCTGTCAGTAAGAATTTCTGTAACACTTGGTAATTTTGTGATATTTTTAGCCATTTCCTCAAGGTTTTCCAAAATAGCTTCTTCCAACTGCCCTAGAATTGCTATTGTTTTTACCAAAAAAAAAAAAAAAAAAAAAAAAAAAATGATGGCGACAACAGAATCTTGAAGCACTGAGCATTTCAAATGATGTAGTCCTACTGGGAACCCAGTCCCCTTAAAATCTGATAAGCATTTATCTAGGTGTTATTTAGGCCTAGGTGAAAACTGAAAATTGGAAATGAACCTCAGGGAAGAACTGAGCACTTGCATTGGTTGGATTTTTACTACAGAGCTAAATTTTGGGGTTAAGATAAAATGTTACAGGCCCATCACATGCTCCTTCCCTTTTAACCAGGATGGGGCTAGAGTCCTGTAATCCCCAGATCTTGAGCACAGGTCTCAGGACTGCCCCAAGTGTGCCCTGGGATCAGGAGTGCATGTCTGCTGCACCTCAATTTCCAGAAGTGGTCTCTCTCCTCTGCAGTTGTCTCTCCCTAGCTGTCAATCAGGGTCAGACTTATATTTGGTGTTGGCTTTTTCAGCTTTATCTGGCTCTTTTTCTATTTCTTCCATTCAGGTGTTTCCACTAATAAAGTCTTTGCATGTTTTTCAGAGTGTCCGGATGGATGCAGGCTATTCATCATGTCCTGTGAAGCCAATGTTAGGTGGGTGATGACCAGCCTCCTGGATCTGAAGCTCTCTTCCGACCCTGGTGTCTATGATCCATGGTCTAAGTTCCCATGAAGTGCCCTCCCCACTTGTCAGGAGGATCCTCTTCAACAGCAGACTTGACTGTGACCCCAGAGACTGTGGGGAAGCTGCCCTCACTGTCACATGGCTCCATATCCTTGCCTACCATATGTTCCCATCTATGCTGCTGTTGTAGTACACAGGACCGCTCTCTGTCATCAAAGGAACACTGAGCTTGAAAGTAACAGCTAAGGTGGGAATGAAAGATTCAGGACCAGTAGCCTCAGCTACCCAGGATCAGCTGAAGTACAAAGGTTGTGCATCAAGGCAAGCAAGGAGTTAGCCTATCACACACTACTATGCTGGAGGAGCCAAAGAAGAGAAAAGACACCAAGACTTATTGTGTTTCTAACTTCATTTTTCTGGCTTTTTGGTGACCCAGTGACTGAGAAGCCTCCAGGAAAATAACAGAGCAAAAACCCTAACACCTGTCTCTTTTCTGTACCCTCAAAAGACACCAACTCATTAGTCTGCAGAATGAGGGCTGAGTCAGTCGGGGAAGGAAAGCTGCTTTCTTTTCCAGCAGAGCTGGGCATTGTGGGTTGCAGGGACTCCTTGGGAGGTGGTTTGCTCCAGGCTAGCAGGGAACCTAGTCCTTGTAGAGTGAGGCCACCCTGAGCCCAGGTCAGGCCAAGGTCTTGCTAGAGTCAGGCAGCAGAGCTGTAGGCTGGGTTCAGATTACAATGTGGAGACCAGAAGCCCTCTTGGTATCTGAGAATTGGAACAGGATTGGGGTCTAGAAAGGAATGGATTATGTTGTCCAGGACGCACTCTTGGAACTCAGCAGCATGAGGCTTTGCCATACCACTCTTATCTCTTGTTCTTGAGGGACGAAGAGGAAGATTTGTGTCTTGGACTATTATTTTGTCTTTCTCTCACTACGGATCCATCAGGGCTGAATCTGCTCATGTGCAAACTAGTACAGAAATGTGTACAGGGAGATGGTTAGTTTTACTCAATTTTACAAAAGGTTTTACTTGATTTTACAAAACAATTAGATATGTTTTCATTAAATGATGCGTTGGGAGGGGGAAATAGAGAAATCCTCAAACTTGGAGGACAGGGAAGGAATAAAGACAAATCATAGAATTTTGGCATGCACTTAATACCATATTTTAAGAACAAAATTAAACTGTTCTTTGGATCTAATCATAAGGTCTCCCTAAGAACATAGACACACATGTCAAACAGAAACCGGACACACTAAATTAGCGCCCAGACCCACAGTCTAAAATATAGGCATACAATTTGAATACCAATTATCCCTTCACCAAACCTAGCAAATAACAAGCTTTACTGAGTAAGATGGTCTCATTTTGATTCACTCTGCTCTTGCAATCTTTGTAGCCAGCAGTGATTTAACATATCTTCTCATAGCTTCTTTCTCTCTCAGGAAAGAAGTTGTTCCCAAAGCTAAGCAGAAGTCTTGGCAGAGGTCTCTAAGGTTGCCCCATTATAGACTGCGGGGCTCAGATGAACTCTCTCATTTCTATTCTGGATGCGGTTGCATGCATATTAGCCCACAGGTGCATGCTTTTTATTTTTAAAAAATCACAAGGGAAGTAGGGTTAGGCCTTGGAACAATTTGTTCCATAGAACTGAGTGAATCATCGTCTATAATGAGCAGTGTTGGCCAGAGCTGCCAAACACTGAACAGTTCTGTTCATCAATTATGCAGGGACCCACTGCTTACCAAGGACAGCCATTAGCATAGTCAGGGCTGATTGGCTCTTGGTCAGGGCCTAGTAGAAGGATACAGACCTTCTTGCCCTTCTGATTCAACAGCGGTGTGCATTTTCAGGGGGAAATAAGGGGCTCAGAGAAGGAGAATTTCAACCGTGAGTTCTCTTCCCTTGACCAAGGCTCCCTGCTACATGATGTGGCCATTCTTTTGTAAGGACCAGGAATCTGAAGGGAGTTCCTCACTCCCAGAGCATCTCTGGTTCAGGCACCACATGTCTAGGATTGTGCCAAGTCTTTGCTACTCAAATTATAGGCTGTGGAATGTGCTTGGGGCTTGCTAGAAATGTGGACTGTCAACTCCACCAAGACCTAAAAGGTCAACGTTTGTGTTAATTGAAGTTTTAGAGCTCTGTAGGAAGTGACATAGTACTAGGTGTGGGGAATATAAAGAATTTGGCTCTGTCTTTTCAGAGCTGAAATCTGAGGTGGGGAAGGACTGATGAATTAGATGAGAACTCATTCCACCAGGATAGCTGTGTAGAGGTCTGTACTGATCATAGATAACAAAAGGGACAGTGGTGAACTCCACCCAAGGAGAAGGGCATACTGAGAGGTAATGATTTACCAGGCAAAGACAAAACAGCTCCATCCTATCACCCCACCCGGGAGGGTTGTCTCCTGACATTGTTTAGTGCTGCTGTGGATTCCTTTGGATTTTGCCATTCACCTTTCCAGTGGTTGTCACTTCTGCTAACACTGCTTCTTCTCCGTGTTCATTTTAGAACTCTTCTTTACTCTACAAAGCCCTCCTCTGGGATTCTGTTGTCTGTGGAACCTTCAGTAGACTACTCCTGGAGAGAATTAATAATTTTCTACTTTGGTCTAGTCTTGCACTTTTAAATATACTGGGTTCTACCAGTATTTGTTTCTGTCAGATTCTGTTTTATGTGTCAGTCTATTGTCATCATTTGCTTAATGTGGCCTTTAAAATGGTGGTTCTAAGTGTATTCTTTGCATGCAGGAAACATATTGATTTGAATCTCCACATTGGCACATAAAAGGATTACAAGGTTGTTTTCAAAATTAACTGGGAAAAGTCTTGAAGGCATGGAGGCACTGGGTGTGTGGAGCTGTGGTCCAGATTCAGCACAGAGTGAGGAGACACGACTATCTTCTGTGGCAGGGATGTGGAGGCTGAATCAAGAGAATCTTTCAATGCTCCACTAGGAGCTGGAGTCTGAACTCTGAGAAGCCATGAACCCATGGTCACAGCAGGGCAGCCAGGTAACCCGGATGATGGTTGGACAATTGGGAGGGAAAATAGTCGGTACTCTGACTGGGCGGGTGACGTAGTAGTAGAGTGCTTGTTTAGCATACACCAAGCTCTGGGTTCAATTCCCCAGCACTTTCAGAAACAAACTGAAATCCGGTAGTAGATATGTGGCATTAGCAAGTGACCTTACAGTCGCAAGATCAAGGCTTGGGCCAGGGCACTGTTGGAAAGGCAAGCAAGCTTCAGCAGAGCAGACACAGGTGGGTGTTGACAAATTCAACTTTCTGGTGAACTCGGAGTAAATGAAAAGTCATCCTTTTGGTCTTTACCAGTATTGACGAGTCTTTCTACAATGCCTTCTTTCCTACCCAAGTCATACACTAGACAGAGCATAGTGTCTGGCCTTTGGGTGCATTTCCACATTACAGAGACTACAGACACAGATCGCTAAAGAATAGATAATGGTGAAATAATTATGCAGTGACTGTATGCACATCAGTCTTCCTGGGCCTTAGAATCCTTCTGTGAAGCTGAGGCATTTTTCTATGCACTCATAGTGGCCAGGCAAACTGATGCAGCCACTGTGGAACCCAGCTAATTCAAAAAGAAGGGGAAATGGTTACCCCATCACCCATCACTCCCATAACCAGTAGAACTAAAATATGTTCAAATGGAACCCATGCATTAATGTTCATAGCAACTCGATTCATCAGGGCAAAAAAGTGGGAATAATCCAATGCCCATCGACTGCTGATATATTTAAAATGTAGTATATTCATCCCATGGACTGGATTGTTGATAAAAGCAAATGATGTGCTGATACGTGCTGCAACATGGTGAACCTCGAAAATCTTGAAAGATAAGGTGAGAAAAAGCCAGAGGCTAGTGGTCTCACATTTAGGATTCCATTGTATGGAATGCTTAGAACAGGTGAAACCCAGAGACAAACAGTGGAGGCTGTGAAGGGGAGAAATGGGGAGAAATGTTTAGTGGGTCCACACTTTCTTTATGGAGTGATAAAAATATTCTGGCCTAAGTCATGATGGCTGCACAACTTGTGGGTTTACTAAAAACCACTGAAATATGTGCCTTGAAATGGTTAAAAATGGATGAATTTTATGTGATATAGATTTTTATCTCAATATTTAAAAAATGAAGTGAAACTTAAATGTCTCAAAGATTTCTTGGAGCTCCTATTCCAATGTAAGGAAATATTTCTAATGCCTAGTAAGTGTTCAATAAATATGTGTGAATTGAGGTGGAAGAAACAAGATGTGTCTGCAGGGTTAGCCAATTCCCTGCTTGTGGAGCTATGTGGTCTGATGACATCTGCCAGATCCTTGCATAGTGTGGCCCTTGGGACAGGGTCTCCTTTATAGGAATCCATTTCATGGGAGATGTGCTGGCATGGGCATAACAACCCATCTGTCAGAAAAAAATTAAAAATGTGATATACATGTATTTATTTATAAACAGTGTGTAGCTTAATTTACAGATAATAATGAAATATAGAATGCTTTCTGCTGTAATTCCCATTTAGCCAAATGATGTTCACAGAATGTTTTGATGACTTTTGCTGAACTCTTATATTTGCACCCAAGCCATGATTGCAATTGAACTATTATTTAGCAAATGAAGTTGTGTATCATTCTCTAACTCTGTTTCCAATAAATTTATTGTCATTACTCTGATATATAATCACTCTACTAAATTATTTCTAACTCAAGTAAAATTATACCCATTAAGTTGAAACCTCCTTCTGTTTTGGCACTGTACATGTCCAAATTTTGCTTATTTGCAGTGCTTTGAACAATTTCTCAGCTAAATTGGATCATAATTTTTTGAATACTGGAGAAATATTTCTTTCAGCAGCACTGGCCATTTGAGAGATACAAATTTAAACGACCCTGAGATTTCACTGAGATGGCTGCTATTAAAAAATCAATCAATAATGAGTGCTGGAGGGGCTGCAGGGAAAAAGGAACCCTTCTCTATTGCTGGTGGGAACGCAGGCTGGTGTAACTACTGTGGAAATCAGTGTGGAGATTCCTCAAAAAAGTAGAATGGAAGGTCTCATTCAGCCCAGCTATTCCTCCTGCTCGGTATCTTCCCAAAAGAATTAAAAACATCATACCACAGTGATGTATGTGTACCCATGTTTATAGCAGCATAGCATGTCTTGGAAACAACCTAAATACCCATCAACTGAGGAATGGATAAAAAAGATGTGGTAGTTCTTTACGGCTGTATACTATTCAGCCATAAAGAATGATAAACTGGACATTTTTATAGGTAAATGAATGTGCCTTGAAAACATATTTACATTGTGAAATAAATATGTCACACATGCATAATCATCACATTGTTTCATTAGTATGATAAGGAAAATATGTGTATTTTGTCCCAGAGAGAATGACTTCTGCCAAGCAATGACTCAGGCCACAGCTGCCTTCACTTTAACTAACCCACTGTGAACCATTTTTAGTTGACTTTTGGGTATCTTGAGTTATTTTTGATGTGCTATAAGGTTTGGGATTTTTGCACGTGAATATCCAGTTGTTCCAGTATATTTATTGAGGATACAATCCTTCCTCCACTTAAATGCTTTTGCATATTTGCCAGAAATCAATTGTCTGTTATGTAGGTATCTATTTTGGGATTTTATATTGGTACTTTGGGGTCTGTCTACCTTGATATCAATGCTATTTTGTCATGATTGGTGTAACTTTGTGATAAGTTGTGGGATTGGGGAGCGTTGGAGCTCTAATTTTGTTCTTTTATCAAAGTTGTTTAGACTATTCTGAGTCTCTTATTTTTACATAAATGTAAGAATCACAGTGTTAATCTGTATGAAAAATGACGTTGACAGTTTGACGAGGGATTGTGTTTTCTGATCTTTGTTATTTTCTTCTATTCATCTTTGGTTTCATTCTGTCTTTTAGTTTTAATAAAAAAGAAATATGTCTTCAGTTTTTGTGTGTAATGGTTCCAGCAAGACAATTTTTCAGTTTAATTTTCATTATGAACATTTTGCCTTTCATCTTGTTCAGCCAACAAAACAATAAATCAAGCCCTGAGTTATCTCACTTTGCTGATTTCATGGCTGAGTGGAAGCTTCCACCTAATAGCACTGAATCCAGAGGAGGAGGAACAACAGCTTGGCATGGCAGGGCGTTTCCACACTGCGGAGACAATAGACACAAATCATCCAAAGGACAAATAATGGTAAAATAATTATGCAGTGACGAGTTCAGCTTATTTATTACCTCTCCTTTTAATAAAATATATTTAAGCTTCACATGGTTTAATTTTTAATAATGGCCACATTTTTAACAACCGGCTGGTACCATTCCTGTAAATTTAGCACAGGCTTTTAAGTGCCACGCTGGCTTTGGCACTCCAGTGGATACAACTATAATTAGTAGTTTATCATACTTTTATTAGTTCGACATCCCACCAGAAGCTTCATAAACATTCTCCCCCAAGGGTTTCAACACTACCTTAATGCAAATTCTTGAGTGTTTCTTAACCATTGGGCTATGGAACGTTTTTTCCTTGTGTCACTCCATGTGTTTAAAAAAGTGGCAGAGTGGGGGTGTAGACTGAAAGCAGTTTTTGGAAGCTATGTAGGACTTCTTGGAGCCCTTACCATGCTAGCACATTTGGAATTTCTCAGAAAAGCATAAAGTGTTCAGTTATTAGTATTAATGAAAAAGGGTATCATTTTGAAGGTGCTGCTAATCTGTTCATGGAGGTTGGGTAACAATGCAAGGAGATGATATTCACAGTAGTAACCACCCCTCCACATGCTTTCCAACCACCAGGTTCCCATGCAGAAGCAGACCACACGCTAATAGGTGTCACCATGGTTCTTTGCTTCCTCTTAGGTATTTTGAGGTCAGTCACACATGGTTAATATACAAACTTGATCACCACCTTGGTCACCCTGGAAGGATTTGGGCCCAGATAACACAAGTTATCTGGCCAGTCATGTCCTTATCTAGAAGTGGGCATGGCATGCACCAGGCAATAGAGGAAATAAATTCTAACCCTCCTGTGCCTCACCAGGCTTGTCACTATCCTCTACTTGCAAGAGCTGCCTTCACCTCCCAGGGAAACTCTTTGTACTTGAATCTCTATCTCTCGATTTCCTGGCAAACCTAAACAGTTTTTGTTTTTCTTCTTAGACTCCAGCTAGTACACCTCCACCCTGATGCAGACCCTCCCTCAGCCTCTTGACCTTGAAGAAAGGAGAAAGGGGCCTACAGGGCTACTGTTCCTCAGAGTGGTCTCAAAAGATGAGCCAATGGAAAAGAGTGTAAATCAAGGGCCTGTGCAAGGAATCCCCATTCCTGCCAGACTTGGCATCGTTCAGTAGCTCCATGAGATCGAATCCAGATTGCTTTGGGTTTAGATTTGTCAGATACAGCAATTTATTCTCGTAGAAGGTAACTGTTAAATCTCATCTCATCTTTTCTCTCAGGATTAAACATGCCCATTCTGGTCCCTGGTACATGTAGCACCTGCCAAGGAGGGAGGTCCAAAGAGGCTTTCCAATACATTTTCTCAGTGCTATGGGTAGACTGCTCATGAGTTTATAGCATCACACAAAAGTGTTAGAAGGGAATATATATTTGATAATTTGAAACAAGTATTAATCTCATCTTCATGAGAAGAAAAAGACAGTATTTGCTTCCTTTCACTGCATTTACTTTATGTCTTATTGTATCTGTTTTCTGTGATATCCATGCACAGCTATCAGACAGATTCATGATCTCTCACAAAAGAGCAATGCTGACCAATGCTCGATCTGTGTGATGCTGCAGCCTTGGGAAAAACCTCAAGCATTATTTTGAGGCTGATGGTCTCTGTAGATTCAGCCTGCTCTTGGGTCTTTTAACATACGTGGCATTAGAAATCAAGAGGTTACCAGTAACTGCACAGTCTCTTGGGTCCTAGGGGATTGAAGAAGCAAAGGTGAACAAAAAAAAAAAAAAAAACCAACTCCAAGGTGTCCATCACAAAAGGAGCCCTCCAAGAAACAGGAAGCAAGTTTTGTGCGAGGTGCCCAGCAGTATCTCCTGGAGCGTCTGTCCAGCACAGGGAGAGGCTGAGGGAGGAAAGAACCCCTGGCTCACATAGCTAATTGCAAGCAGAAGAAAAAGAAAAATAACATGATTAGCATGTTTCTCTCCTTCCCTTGATGACAATGACAGTGCAGGCAATCTGCTATCTGTGCAGAGGGGCACTGGGACGGAGTGCTGGGAGCATCTGTTCTGAGAAACTGCTATTCAAAGGGCAGGAAATACAGAGAGTCGAGAGAAACCTGCTTTGTGAGGAGATCCCAGAGGAGTTATGAGAACAGTTGGGTCTGGAGGACTTCGGCCCTGGGGACTGACCCTGGGGGACTGCAGCCAGATGGCTCCTCTTCCCTTCAGAGTTGGGGTTGTAGATGGTGGCCCTTGCTGTGACACTTTTTTAAAGACAGACAGACAGACAGACCTACTTCTCCAGTCGACTGCTTTCACCTGTACCAACCAGGGCTGTCTGTTGGTGGCAAATCTTCCTGACCAGAGGCTGAGTTCCAGTGTTCACCACCATTTCTGCTCAGTGGGAACAGTAACTACAGCTGTCCCCCTTATCCCCTGGGAATACGTCCAAGATTCCCCAGTGGATGCTTGAAACTGGAGAATACCGAACCCAATATGTGCTGTGTTTTCCTTATAAATGTATATTTCTGATTAAGTTTAACATAAGGCGTGGAGATTAACAATAACTTTTTAATATTCTTATACATGTTTTTTTTCTTTCAGTGTCTCACTCTAATGAGACAATACAATGTTTACATATGTGTGTCTTATTTAGTTCATTAATGAATCTGGTCTCAAGTTGCATCCATTTACCTATAAAATTCTCCAGTCTATCCTTCTGTATAGTACTCCATTGTATAAAAATACCACATCTTTTTTTATCCATTCCTCAGTCAAAGGACATTTAGGTTGTTTCCAAGATCTGGCTATTATAAATTATGCTGCTTATGTACATGGGTGCACATATTAACAACAACATCTGATAAGGAAATAGAATGATTATAGCAATATGCTGTAATAGAATTGGCAGTGTTATTCCTCCTGTGCTTTGGGGCCATTATTAAATAAAGATACGGGCTACCTGAATATGATCACTATGCACCATACCTGATGACCTGCTACTAAAGAAGACCCTTCAGTGACTATGGTTGGCAGCATATTCAGCATGGAAATGCTAGATGAAAAGGTGATTCACATCTCAGGGAGGACAGAGTGAGACAAAGTGAGATTTCACCCATGTGCCATTGAAAACTTATGACTTATTTCTAGGATTTCTCTTTAATATTTTCATATTTAACTGAAACCAAAGAAAGTGAAACTGGAGCTAACGGGGACTCTGTACCTTTGATGGAGAACAAGGGAGACAGTGTCTTGAGTGGATGAAATCACTGTGGGCTCTAAAGTGTTAAAGGGCTCTGTGCATCTCGGTGAACCAAGAACTCATCCAAAGAACCTAACAAATGACCTGGTAGCTGGCCTGATGGTCAGTCCTGGCCTCTGAACCCTCCCTGTCTTGGGGGAGCAGGCAGGAGCAGGGTCCCCTCATCACATACCTTTGGCAGCCTTTGATATTCAGATTCATCATCTGAAAGCCCACTTGTCAGAGGGTTATGAGCTGGCCCCACATCTAGTATCTTCAGATGCTGCTGGTATTCCCACTTAGTCCACTGACTAAATCGTAAGTGTGTGTGTGGGCAACAGCTGTCTTTGCATTCTCTTGTCCAGTAGGTCAGCGCTATACTGACAGTAGGTGCTTCATCGTTACTCTTAGCTGTGAATAACTGGAGCTTAGAGCTTGTAACTGTCCCAGGTAAGCAAATGAGTCTTGCAAGTTAGAACAGAATACTGAGCAATCTCCACCTCTGGGGGAGTGATGGTGGTGGTTAGTAGCCTTAGTCACCTGGCAGAAAGGATAATTTTTAAATCTCTTTTCTTGTAAAATGAGAGTAATAATAGAACTTTCTCTTAAGGATTTAATCATACCTAATACTAGCTGTCATTTTTATTCTTATTATTAGTGTATTGTTATTTCTAAGGTGAAGCTTATTTTCCTCAGGAATTCTGAGAACGTGGGAGCACTCTGGTCCTCTCCTAGGAAGGAGAAGAAGGCACTGTGTGGATTGACTGAAGAAGAAGAAGAAACCTAGTCTTTGCCACCGTGGTACTTGGCTGGCTCCCAGGCGGCTTTTTCCACTGGCTCAGCAGCGGCTCTCAGCATCCTGTCTCTCCTTCTCCTGCTACTCTGGCCAAAGTTGCCAATTCCTTGACAGAAGTACTGCGGGGAACCCTGCCATGGCTTTGGATGGACATTTCCATTTGCTTTCAGTTTGCTTTCATGTTAAGGCAGTGTACTCTCAGCCTCCACTTTGGGGTTCATTCGTAGCGGCAAAGTTAAGATTCCTTGGCTTACTCCCATGCCTTTCTAAGCCACAGCATCCACAGCAGGATCTGAACGTCATCTTGCCTGGAAAACCCAAAAGGCAAGAAGGGATCTGGGAGAATGACTGATTTTATCACTTGCCTTATAAGAAAGGCCTTCACTGAATTACATTGCAGTGTGTTCTAGTCTTTTAAAATTGAGGTTTAATGTTTCAACAGTTATTTAAAGAATGTTTATGTGTCTTCTGCATCCATTGGAGGACATATTGTTGTTTGCCAGTGCTGATGCCAGTAAAAATGCCTTCCCTTTGGATTATGATCACTGGATTACAAGTCGTAGGTGAGGTAAGGAGGCGAGGTTATTGAGGAAATGAGGCTCAGGGTCCCAGCTGCTCGAGCTGCTCCCGCCAAGCCTTTCTACTGTGCTAGCTAACAGACTGTGCTGGGTATAATGAACTGCACAGTAAAGCCGTCTAGCAGTGAGGCGCAGAAAGTTTTAATTG